GATGGGAAGCCGATCTATACACAAAGGTGCATTTAAAGAGAGGCACCAAGTGGTAAGGAAAGATGTGAAAAACATTGAGGGAATCAAGGAATACTTCCTGGAAGAAATGACACAGTAGCAAGCTCTCAAAGGTTAGTTGAAATCTCATGGAGCAAGATATGGAAACAATCACAGAGTGACAGTAACAGCTGGCATTTATCAGGTGCCTGCTAAGCACCAGACATTGTGCCAAGCACTTTATCTGCCTAACTTTATTTAATCCTCACAACAACTGTCTGCAGTAGGCACTATTGTCGTCTGTAATTTACAGATGGGAAAGCTAGGCTTTGGTTACCACACTGCCCAAGGTCACACAGCTAGAAAGGAGGCAGCTGATTTCATATGCCATGCTCCTAACCATTATCGTGTTCCACGTCCCAAAGGACTTGAGACTCAGAGATGTGAAAGGGCTGTGACATTTTTGCAAATGACAGGAGTTTTGTGCAAATGACAGGAGAAGGCGTCCAGGGAGGGATATGGGCCAGGGGAGGATATTGCATGAAGTGTTGGAACCTGGCAGTGACTTCCTAGTGCGAGCTGAACTCATTCATTTTGTAATGAGGAAAGGGAGCCCCAGAAGGGTTATGTGACTTGACTAGAGTCACACAGTTTGATAGTGGCAAAGCAGACTAACGGTCCAGATCCCGGGCAGCCCCTTTCCATTATGGACAGTTGGAGGCCAAACTGGGATTGGCCTCGAATGCCTTGCTAAGGAGGTCTGAACTATTCTACAGCTCATTGTAGCCATTTTAAGTGTACAATTCAGTGACATTAAGCACATTCACAACGTTATGCAACCATTATCACTATCCATGTCCAGAACTTTTTCATCGTTCCAAAGAGAAACTCTGCATCCATTAAACAATAACTCCCCATTCTCCGCACCCCCCCCCCCACGGTACACATCATTCTACTTTCTGACTCTATGAATTTGCCTATTCTAGGTACCACATATGTTTGGAATCATATAAATTTGTCCTTTTATGTCTGGCTTATTTCACTTAACATGAAATTTTCAAGATTCACCCATATTGTAGCGTGTATAATATGCTGGAATGTATTACTTCATAAATACTTCATTCCTTTTTTCCCCTGTTTTTTATTGTGGCAAAATATAGATAATATTTACGATTTTAACCATTTTTAAGTGTACAGTTCAGTGATTAAGTACATTCATATTGTTGTGCAACCGTCACCACCATCCATCTCCGGGACTCTTTCCATTTTGCAAAACTGAAACTCTGTACCCATTAAACAGTAACTCCCCCTTCCCTTATCTTTCCAGCCCCTGGGGATCACTATTCTACTGTGGGTCTCTATGATTTTGACAACCTAGGTACATCATATAAGCGATATTATACAGTATGCGTCTTTTTTTGTGACTGGCTTATTTCACTTAGCACAATGTCCTCGAGGTTCATCCATATTGCAGAATATGTCAGAATTTCCTTCCTTTTTAAGGCTGAATAATATTCCTTTGTATGTATATACCACATTTTATTTATCCATTTATCTGCCAATGGACATTTGGGTTGCTTCCATCTTTTGGTTATTGTGAATAATGCTGCTATGCACATGGATGTACAAATATCTCTTTGAGACACTGCTTTCAATTATTTTGGGTATACACCCAGAAGTGAAATTCCTGGATCATATGGTAATTCTATTTTTTAATTTTTTGAGGAACTGCCATACTGTTTTCCACAGCGGCTGTATCATTTTGCGTTCCTACTGACAGTGCACGAGTTCCAGTTTCTCCACATCCTCACCAACACTTCTTATAGTTCATTCCTTTTTTTAAAGATAAGACATATTCTAATGTATGTAGGCAACACATTTTTAGAAATCCATCCATCAGTTGATGGACATTTGGGTTGTTTCTGCCTTTTGGCTATTGTGAATAATGCTGCTGTGAACGTTGGTGTACAAGTATCTGAGTACCTGCTTTCAATTTTTTTGAAGCGGAATTGCTGGATCGTAGGGTAATTCTATATTTAACTCCTTGAGAAATCTATGGACTTTTGAAGGACATCTGTGCTCCGTAAGCTGGCTCTGGTCATCCTAGCCTTCTTCTGAACAGATATCCGTGAGGCGGTGCACAGACTCCTTCCTCTCCCCTGCATGCACACTGCCCCCCTGCCCCGACTTCATTGCTTTCCGGAAGGTAGTTCTCTGAGCCTCTTTTACACTGAGGTCCAAGCAGCTAACAGCGAAGCTGGCCCTGGTGTCCAGTTGGGCTCGCCCGAGGGAACCAGGTTTGGGTTGGTCCCGGCGTGTCCTGCGAGGGCGGTGATGTGGGCAGGAGGGGAGGCTCCTCGCTGTTCTTTGAAATCTCACCAGCTAAGCGAGCTGTATCCGCCCACTCTGGCGGTGGCCCTGGGGCTGCCCAGGTGAGCCGGCAGATTAGTCCCGTGCCCTGGGGCGGGCACAGCCGGGCCTGGTGGGTCCCTCTAGCGCGGAGTCCTCACTGAGCTCCGCTCCCGGCGCGAGCGCCCTGCTTCCCGCCCGGGGCGGCCGTTCCGGAGCCTGGCCCGGCTCCCTCTCGGGTGTCCTCGCTGCGAGCTGCCGCCTCTGCGTCCCCGACACTCTGGACCGGGGGCGACTCCGGGTCCCCAACCGCGCCGCGTGCCCGGGAGACCCCGACGTGCCCCGACTTCGAGCCCGGACCCCGGCGCCTCTCCAAGCCAGCAGCCCGAGCCCTGCGCGCCTCGCGGCCCCGGGGGCGGGGACAGCGTGTGCGGGGCGGGCCCGGGCCGGGGGTGGCCTCGCCACGGAGCCGCCGTTCCTCGGATCTGCCGCGGCGGCGCGAGCGCAACTCCCGCCGGAGAGAGCCCCGAGCAGAGGAGAGAGGGGACCTGTCCTCTTCCTGCGGGCCTCTAGGAGAAGCGGCTCGTGTCCCCGGGCCCGGAATCAAGAAACCGGGAGCTGGTCCACTGGGCGCCGGCGTTCCGCAGGTACTGAGCGCGCCCTCCCGGGGAGATGCTCCAGGGAACCCACGCGGCACCGGCGGCCGCCGAGGCGCCAGGGCTTTTGAGTGGGGACGGGGGCTTTTCCAGAGTCTCGCACTCGCGCTCGTTTCTTCAGGGGAGCCGGCTACCCCCTCCTTCTGTCCTGAGGCGTAGCCCCGGGGCTCCAAGGAGAAAGTTGGGAGCAAGACAGGGTTTATCAGCAGGGGCTGCAAAGAGATGCTTCTGGCGATCGGCAGGGTCTGGCCAGGGGGCGAGCGCTAAACGGCAGGGGCCCCAGAGGACACTGAGCGGGCATGGGGTTCCCCTTTGAGAGGTGAGAATAAAGTAGAGAAGCTCGCTGGAAAACTTCTCCCCGAATCTAAATCTTCTAATCTCTGCCCCCCAAGAAGTTTTTATTCTCTTTGTTTTTAAGACCTGACTTTGAGCCTTCCAGGTAGCATGCTTGTAGGGTGCCCCTGCAGAGGTGGCATGCCTCTGAGACACACAGGGCCTGCGAGGAGTGTGGACTGTCCCACCCGGACTGGACTGCAGCTATCCCTGCCTGGGTTCCAAGCCTGGCCCCCTCTGACCTTTCAGCTCTGGGCTCTGCTTCTCACACCTGACAGGGGGAAAGGGCAGGGCCTGAAGGGACTGAACTCACGGCTCAGAGGAAGGAAAAAATCAGAGAAAAAGGGTGTGAGGAATTGGGAGAGAGGCAGGAATGGGGCTGAGCCTCATTGGGGTGCAGAGGGACTTTAACCCTGGTCCCCCAAAGACGAGTTCCAGATGTGTCATGTTCTGAGGAACGTGGAAAGCAGGCTTTCCTAGGGGGTCTTACGTGTCTTCCTTGTGTCTCCCTTTCCCAGGAACCTCAGGTTTTCCATACTCCCCTACCCTTTCTGATTTTCCTGAAATTTATGATGCTCGCCAGACCCCAGCTCTCCTCTTACATCCCAGCAACCTGGTGTGATATTTTCAGGCTCTGGGAGGGACTGGTGGGGCAGGGACAGGGCAGGGGATGGGGGACTCTGGCTTCCTCTTGGTTTGTGGTCCTCAGCAGTGCAGCTGACACCCCTCCCCACCCCTCTCTGCAGCCCCATTATGTGATGTGGTGGAGTCATCTGGGTCAGGGTTTCCCTCTCCTTCCTTGTGGCTGACTGAGGAGGCCTGAGCACTCAACAGCAATTCCTTGCAGTTCTAGGGTGTAACACCCTCCCTCTCCAGGGAGCTCCATACTTTACAGACATTATTGATCTCCTGCCTGGGATGTCGAAACTCTGAGTGTTTAAGCTATTTACCTCAGGACACACAACCAGCCAAGGAAGGATTTTGCTCTGGAGCCCCCTTTCCAGGCCACTTAGTGATTGGGTTGTGACTTCAACCCTGCAGCCTCTGCCTGGGGACAGGCCTTGGTAATTACTGTGCCCGGCCTCTGAGGTCGCAGCAGACTTGGATGGGGGGACGGGAAGCCCAAGGAGGAGAGGGGAAGGCAGCTCTCTGTGATTGGCCCTGTGATTCTAGAGCAGTGTATTACCAAGAAGGAAGAAGCCCAGCTCATGGAGAGTAGTCAGGGTTGTCTCAGAGCTCTCCCTCTTTGATGGTATTCAGAATTATTTCTTTTAAGCCACAGAATGGGACAATTCCACAAGGACAAAATTCAGGCTGTTGGGGCAGCAAAGGGAGTTGGAGCAGGTCACTTTCATTCTCTTTGGCCTCCCCACATTCCCAACTTCGGCCCCTGAGAAAAAGTGCAACATTTCAGTCATCAGTGGACCGGAAATAAACTGAGGCTGATTGTCTCTATAGCAATCCAATCTTCCCTGAATGAGTGGGTATGTGGTTTTATTCATTTGTGTTCTCTCACTGGTGCCTTTATTTCCACTCCATCTCCCAGTGTTCACTCTGAGCAGGTGGCTAATGGGTCTGCTTAGGTCACAGGATGGTTTTAAATTTGGCCAGGTTCACTCACCTATGTAGCCAACTATTTGTTTGTCTTTTTAAGGCAAGGGAGATCAGACCCTGTACCCTCCGGTTGCTGGCAGGGACTCTGACTCATTAAGGGAGAGCTGAGTGTCAGCAGAGCGGGGAGACATCAGCCTCCTGGAGGAATTCCCAGCAGTGCTGCTCATAGCACCACTTGGCCAGATGGAGATCAGCATGGGGGTCTTGGATGAGAATGCCACCAACACCTCCTCCAACTTCCTTTCCGTGCTCTCTCCCCGTGGAGTGCAAGCTGCTTCCTTCCCATTTAACTTCAGCTATGGCGACTATGATATGCCCTTGGATGAGGATGAGGATGTGACCAATTCCCGGACTTTCTTTGCGGCCAAGATCATCATTGGCATGGCCCTGGTGGGCATCATGCTTGTGTGTGGCATTGGCAACTTCATCTTCATTGCTGCCTTGGCCCGTTACAAGAAGCTGCGTAACCTCACCAACCTGCTCATTGCCAACCTGGCCATCTCTGACTTCCTGGTGGCTGTTGTCTGCTGCCCCTTTGAGATGGACTACTACGTGGTGCGCCAGCTCTCCTGGGAGCATGGTCATGTCCTGTGTGCCTCTGTCAACTACTTGCGTACTGTCTCTCTCTATGTCTCCACCAATGCCCTGTTGGCCATCGCCATCGATAGGTGAGTGAGGGGGCAGTGGGGACAACAAAGAAAGGGGCACTGGAATTGCCCCTTCTTTTACTGCAGGTGTGGATTGATGAGAAATATCCACATTCCTCATAGATGTGGATGCGTGGGGGCTCAAAAGTTGGCCCATTGACTGAACAGTAGGAAGAGTTCTAGGTTTCCAGCTGTGGGCAGGCAGAGGTAGCAGAGCTCCCTCGAGTTGGGCGTTGGGAAGGCTTTTGATCCCTCTGCTATGGACGTGCTCAAAGATGTTGTATCTGTTCAAGGTCTAGAGGTAGAAGGTAGGAGGAGGTGCAGAGGGACAAGTTTAAGTTCTAGGCAGGTACCTCCTGAGTCAACTTGGAAATCTTGGTGGAGGTTTCTATCTCAAGACTTCTTCTACTAAAACATGACCCCCCTAGCACCAGTTGATTTTAAAATAAAATTGAAGGATTTGTTTTGAAAAAAAAAAAGAAAGAAAAAAGAGAACATACACTTACTTAGACTTTTTTGTTGTTGCATTCATCAGTTTGCTCCTTTTCTTACACTTGCATGCAACAGTATAGAAGACCTGTTTTTAGTGATGGTAAATAAAACCAATAAGAGCAGCCTATGCAAATGTTTCTTATGTTATGTTTATTTTTTTTCATTTAGTATAATCACCTGTGCTAATGGGCCAGGGTGGTTTTTTTCCCCTCAGGACAATCTTTGCAAGATCCTCTGCCCAAAGTTGGACTCGTTACAAAGCACCATGTTAAGTCTAGAGACAGTTGCCTTGAGGGTCAAATCCGGCCACCACGTACTGTACTTGCATTGAACAGCCTGTCTCTCTTCCTTAACCCAGAGAGCCTGAAGGACAGATGCTCTCCCTGTTCCATGGCCTCAGGGCTGGGCTGGAGTTCAGCTGCCCCTCACAATCAGGACACCACCCGACAGTGTTCCAGCGGGGAGCACAGTGAATAGGGCCTGCTTTCTGAAGCCACAGGCAGGACAACTAGGGATAGGATAACCCCGAAACAGACCACTACAGAGTAAAGGGGGTTGAGAAGGAGCCTGGCTTTCAAACCACTGAGGGGTGGAAGCTCAGCTTCCTTTCTCCAGGGAAGGGTGTCAGGGAGTTAGCCACTTACACAGCCACCCGCGGAAAGTGCTCAGAGATGTCATCCCTGCAGAGGGCCTCTTCTCCTTGGCCAAGGTCGTTCGCAGGAGTCGTAAAGCCCCATGGCATTTTGTCCCCCCAGGAACAGACGCTGCGTGAATACAGAAGGAACAGGAGGGGACAGTCAAGCAGAGCATCCACCCCCTAAGTGCCCTTCAGAGCCGGCGAGGAAGAGCTGCAGGGACCTTGTCTCTGGCCTCTTCTGAAAGTAGAAGCTGCCTTCATCTCTCTTAGCACATAAACAGGACAAAGCATCTAGGGTCATTTCCTTAAGTTTCGCTTTAGCAAGACATCTTTTCACGGGGGTGCTCCCAGCCACTGAAAGTGGGGTAGGTAGGGGCCTGCTGTGGGGTGGGACTCAGGTCTGTTTTACCTTGTGGGAGTCCACTTGTTGAAAGGGGTAATACCTGCGGTAGGATGTGGCTTCAAGGAGGGTGGGAGCCAGGATAAATTAAGGGGCACTGGGTTAGTTTGAACACGTAAGAGGTAACATCTGTGTCAATTAATCCACCTCGATCTCCTGAACTCCTTCAGGCTCATGTCCTACTTTCATACCAAATTCAGGTTGTCTGAAATACCACAGGCATGTCTAGTGCAGTGTAAGTTTATATAATGCAATTTAAATACAGTAAGAAAGATTAATTGGGGAACATGCTTTGCTTCATGGGGCTGCTATTGTTTATAGTGGGGTTGTGGTTGGAAACTTGCACCCAGGCGCTGGAGGAAAGCACTGTTTCCTGCACAGGGCCGTCCAGTGGCTTGGCCAGCTAGCTGGCTGCTCCAGTGGGGTAAGTTCCGTTATTGATGTTTGTCATCTTTGCTTCAGATTTGTTTTATTTTTATGTGTTTTTACCATCTAATTTCAATTTTGTGGTCTAGGGCCTCATGGATTCTTGTCTGGCCTCGTGTCTTGTTCAGGATTTGATCAGTGATTTCAGACTTGATTTGGTTTGTTTTGGGCAACTAATTTTTATCTTGCTATAACAAATACACCCACAGTTATAAAAATAGCTTTATTTTTGTTTAATGGAATTTCTGTAGGAATAGTGTCAGTAGCTATTCTGCCTAGGTTTAACCTCCTGCTGCACCGATTAGCTGTAGGGCCTTATATTGGTTATTTGACCTCTCTCTGCCTCAGTTTTCTCATGTATAAAATGGGAATAATAAGAAAACCTAATGTATTGGGTTGCTTTGAGGATTAAATGAAATAATATATGTAATTGTTTAGAATAATGCTTAAAACAGAGTAAGCACTAAATAAAGTGTGGGTATTATAATTCTTGAATTAATCCTTACAGGAATAACAACAAAAAAACCCAGAAAAACGGATGAATATTTCTGGTTGACTAACCTCTTTGTTTTCATTGAAGTGATTGTTTTTATGATGTGATTAAAAAAAATAATACAAGGTCTCTGAGAAACACAGCCACCAAGATATGGCAGAACAGAACTATTTATCTTCTACCTGCCTCGACTTCTCTGTTTCCGTTATTGGTTCCATGGTTCTCCCAGGTATCTAAACTAGCAAGTCTCCTCCATCCTGGCCGCCCTCTCCCTTTCTCCAGCATTCATTCAATTTCCAGGTCCTGGCAATACTCCCCGCTATCGCTCACCTGTTCACTCAGGCCTGGACTGTCATAGTCTCCTCTTGGTCTTCTGCCTTCATTGTCTCTTGGTTCTGTCCCTCTGCCAACCCTACTCCCCCACAATCCATCCTAAACATTCATTCATTCAAACAATGCATTTTTATAGAGCAACTAGCACTGGGGATAATGGTGAGTAGGAAGAAAAAGCTCCTTGCCTTCATGGAGCTTATACCCACGGGGTGGAGAGAGCTAGCAGTCAGGCAAACAGACAAGGAGGGTAACTTCCGAGCATGAGAAATGCTCAGAACAAAAACAAACACATGGAAACCATGAGAGTGACAGAGTGGAAATTATTGGGTGTGTAGTCAGGAAAAGTGTCTCTGAGAAGACATTTGAACTGACCTCTGAATGACGTAAAAACATAAAATAAAAGCTGGCCCTGTGAAGATTGGGACAAAGCATTCCAGACAGAGGGAGTTATAAGTGCAAAGGCCCTGAGACAGGAACAAACCCGAAGTATTCTAGGAATAGAGAGAAGGCCCCTGTGGCCTGAGGGAAGAAAGCAGGACTGCAACCAGTTTAATCTTCCGTCTTGTACATGTTCCTCTCTCTTTCTCATAAGACCTCTAATGACTCCATTGTCTACAAAATATGGCTCAGCCCCCCTCATCTGCCCTTCCAACCTTTTATGATCGAGCCCCAGACTACCTCCCAGTCTCATGCTGGGTTGGGTAAACGCATTTATGTCCTGTTTTCCAAAAACGGTTACAATCTTTTTGAGAACTGTCACCATGGCTCATTACATTTCTATTCATTCAGTGCCAGGCACTTGCTGAGGGTGAAGTTCTACTAAAATCCTAGGTGCCCGGAATTCACAGACAGCAAAAGGTTATAAAAGAAATAAGACTTGATCCCTGCTCTTGGGGAGCTTACCGTCTAGACTGGGGTTGGGGGAGACGGGGAGAACTAACATTTATGGAACAGTTAAAAGATAAAGTAAAGGATAAATTTTAAAGGAAATTTAGAGAAGGGTGAGATCATCATGTACCTGAGAAATCAAAGGCGGTTTCATGGAGGAGGTGAACTTTTAACTGGCCTTCAACCAATGAGGATCAGCAAAAAAGAGGAAAGATTTTCCAAGAGGGCAGAACAGTGTTTGCAAAAGTCAAGAGGTGGGAATGCTTGTGCTATGAGGTCCTTTGCGGAGGTGTGTGGGACAGGGGCAAAGAACATAAGGAGAGTAGAGATCAGAAAGGATAGGGTCATATTCCAGAAGATCTCAAAATCCAGGCACAGGGAGTCAGACCTGATGGTAGCAAGGAACTGAGAAAGATCCTCAGAGGACTCTGTCCCCCAGCTCTGGGTTTTCTCTTTGATGTGGAGACACCTGCACTGTCCTCGAGGTGTATCCTGCAGATCCCAGAGCACGTGGGGCACTGGGGACTCCCCCTTCTTTTACCCAGAATCTAGGGGAAACTGGCCAGTCTGCCTGCCCATTGGCAGCTCTCTTCTGTCTGGATGAGGCCAGCTAAGGCACGAGTAACTGCGCTCAGCCTTAGGGAGCACCAGTGCTCTCCGGTGAGCTTATCGGGCAGCGGTTGTGCATTCCCTGTCCATCCCATGACCAGCCTAGGAGCTGCTCCCGCTGCTATTTCCATGGTTTATCTGAGGCTGGGTCCTGGGTACAGAGAGGGAGCCCAAAGGCTCTTTGCTTAACTACTCAGCCCACTATCATCACACAGTTATTGCCTGGACATTGTTTTGTCCAGCAGCCATTATTCTTCGTTCTCTGGGAAATGTTGGCTCTAAGTGGATCTGGATCTGAGCCACTGTGGTGGTAGACACACAGGGCAAGCCAAGGCCCACTCATCAGCAGAGAAAAGTAGCTGACAGTTGCCCGACTTCTTCTTCGAACATCAATAGGTAGAAACCAACTGTGATGCAGAGAAAAGAGGAGAGGGGTTGCCAGGATGTCAGGAGGGCAGAAGGAAGGGATATTGCTTGCTCTGGATGGGAAGGGAGGGGGCACATGGCGTACTAGAGAGGCCACTGGATTTGGAGCAAGATAGGGGTCCGTGTCATGGTTCTGTCAGTTTCTAGCTATGTGGCTTTTGGCAGGTTATTTAACTTCTCTGAACCTTAGTTTGCTCATCTTATAAAATGGGCATCTTTGCTCTCTTCAATAGAGTTGGGGTTATCTAACGAGAAAGTGGATTTGAAAATGCTCTGTAAACTATAAGTTGCTTTACAAACATAAGTAAGTATTACTAACACTGGAGTTCTGGAATTCTGTTCCTAGCATAGCTAAGGCTGGTGGCAATCCTTGAGGCGGTTTTCTGCAATTTGCCTACTGATAAATGTGTTTGGAAGGCACATTTCACAGCTCCTCATGCTAACCCTGGGGATGGAGTTGGGGTGATGTCGGAGAGACAGGAGGAAACAATTATCTGATGGGTAGCCACAAATTACCCTGAAGATTAGTTCTGATGTGAAGATAAATAGATCCAGCAAAATAGAAAGTAGTAAAGAACTTGCAAATGCAGAGTTTGCCAATAACAGGTAACAGAAAATTGCTGTGTTTACAGAATAGCTCTGAAAAAATACATTTTGGGATACTAACAGTTTCCTGCATATTACTAGCTTGTTGTTTATGTGCAGTGTCCCATTGGAACCTCAGTGTCGCTGTGAGGTTGGCAAGGCAGGTGATAGACCCGTGTCACAGAGGAGGAAGTGGAGCCCACAGGGCTAGGAAAAATGACCCAAAGTCATATAACAAGTTTGTGGCAAAGCTGGAATTAGAGTCTTGGTTTTCTGACTCCTAGATTAGCATTCTCTCCTAATTGTTCCTTGAAAAAACACTCTAAGTTTGAAACATCATGAAGACTTTGGAAGCTACTATTGGGAAAAGAAGGAACAGAATCATATGGTGAAAATTCATATAGTAAACAAGTATGAATATAGAAATATTCTTTGATAGAGTAATCTTCAGCACATTATGGGGTAGATAGAGAGGGAGAGAGCTGGTGAGAGCAAAAGCACTAAACTCTTAGTTTTTATATGAATCAGAGCAGGTTTGGGGCCCTCCTTACAGCAGGAGCACCATGGTCTTTATGAAGGGCCCATCCGTGTGCATTGACAAAAGCATTGCCAACACCCTGCAGACACTCCCATGCCACCCTTCAGCACTCGGGAGATTGGCAAGAGTGCCACGAATTGCTGCCGGTGGTGGAGGGTATCAAGCAGCCAGCCGGGTGTCCAGAGGGCGCACCCAGCCCACCCAACTTCATCTAACCTCTGGGAGCCAGAAAAGAGCGGGAGCCTCACTCCAGTGAACTCTCCAAATGACACTCAATGGAGTTGGCTGCCTGTGTTGTGGGAGGAGGAACAGAAACAGCCAGAACATGATCTGATCAGAAAAAAAATAAGAATGAACCTCCTCTTCCAATCAAAATCTCAAGAAAGATGACCTCAAAGGGATTGGTTTCAAAGGAAGCAGAAATGGTTTGGCTTTCCCTCAGGCCCCTGTCATGTTTGCCCTTGGCTCTACCTGGGATAAGCTGTGGACACGTGAGAATGTGTTTATTTCCAGTGCTGGTTAGTCATTCCCTCCCACTTCACTTCCCATCTTTCTCCTTCTCCAGCTTCTCCCCTCTCCCAGACACGGAAAGTCTTCCAGGAAACCAGAGCTCTCTGCATAAGTATGTACACTCTCTCTGGGAAGGAGGCTTTCATACCGCACAAATGACTCACATCCCCCAGAAAGTGCTCTCTCCTTGTTCCTGGACCACTGTGGTAACAGCAGTGTGGTTTTTTGGGAAAGAACAAAAGCAATATCTTATACTGTCTGGTGCTTTGTGGTTAAAAAAAAAATGTTCATGTATATTCTCAATTGATTTTTACATCAACCATGTGAGATAGGGTTAAATGTTTTCTATCAAAGGTATATGATATGACCTTGGATATGACCTTGAGAAAGTCACTCATCTCTCACCAGCCTCCATTTTTCTACCTGGAAAATAAGATAAATGATCTCATGCTTTTCCTCCACCTTTGCATGCAGAGCAATGTTTTCAAAAATGTGGAATGAAAACAAAACTTTGCCCACTACTTCCAGTGGGAAGGGTAAATTCTCCCAGCAACTTATCAGGCCCTTAGCTCTTAACTGTGGAGTAATGAGGATGAATGGCCCTGAAAACAGGAAGGAGCTGGGAATAGCGCCAGACTAGGAACCAATGGGAGGCATTATTAGTACATTTGATAATCATAGTCACCATGTATTGAGTATATACCATGTTTGAAACTGTGCCAGGAATTATGTATACATCAGCACATTTAATCCTTAAAAACAAACAAACAAAAACCTTTGCAGAGAAGAAAACTGAGATTCAGAGAGATCAAACAAAATTTGCCTGAGGTTGCGACAGCTAGTGAGGGGTGGAGCTGGGGTTTGCATTCAAGTCTGCCTTTCCCAGAAGCCTACATATCATTGCGTTTTTCTTCCACACATACCATTCGGTTGCACCTCCTAATGTTGCAGAAATAATATCGTTATGTAGAACTTTCTCATCACAGTGGTTGACCGTATTTGTGTTCTTGTCCCAGATATCTGGCCATTGTCCACCCGCTGAGACCCCGGATGAAGTATCAAACAGCCACTGGCTTGATTGTCTTGGTGTGGACGGTGTCCATCCTCATCGCCATCCCTTCAGCCTACTTCACAACTGAAACTGTCCTCATTATTGTCAAGAGCCAGGAGAAGATCTTCTGTGGCCAGATCTGGCCTGTGGACCAGCAGATCTACTACAAGTCCTACTTCCTCTTCATCTTTGGCATTGAGTTCGTGGGCCCCGTGGTCACCATGACTCTGTGCTATGCCAGGATCTCCCGGGAGCTCTGGTTCAAGGCGGTCCCTGGTTTCCAGACAGAGCAGATCCGGAAGCGGCTACGCTGCCGCCGGAAGACGGTGCTGGTGCTCATGTGCATCCTCACCGCCTATGTGCTGTGCTGGGCGCCCTTCTACGGCTTCACCATTGTGCGTGACTTCTTCCCCATGGTGTTCGTGAAGGAGAAGCACTACCTCACGGCGTTCTATGTCGTTGAGTGCATTGCCATGAGCAATAGCATGATCAACACCGTGTGCTTCGTGACCGTCAAGAACAACACCATCAAGTACTTCAAGAAGATCATGCTGCTCCACTGGAAGCCTTCTTACAATGGAAGTAAGTCCAGTGCAGACCTTGATCTCAAAACCATCGGGGTGCCTGCCACCGAAGAGGTGGATTGCATCAGACTGAAATAACTCAATGGCCCTTTCAAAGTTTAAACACAGACAGGACCTTTGGGACCCTAACCAGTGTGTTTAGATTCACACTATCAATTAAGAACTCTTGGTTTGCTGCAGAGGGCAGAGAAAATGGACAACTATATGAACACTGTGTTCAAGGAGCTCAGAATTTCTAAAACTGATGTGACTAGATACCATCACCAGTGGCCAACATTCATTGAATGTCTAATTTGTGCAGAGTAGGCACAGATGAAACTTATATATGTCGACTATGTTTAAATGGCAAAAAGAAATAGAGATTAAACCAAGAAAAATGTTGGAGCACAGACAGTCTGGAATAAGGGAGTTTCCAGAAGAGAATGCGAGTTGGCATCTAGGACTGTGGTACATGTGTTTGTAGAATGATGATCTCTCTGGACCCTTTCAGCTATTCATCAGACACTGATGTAGCCCATCTTTAGGATTATTCTTAGGCTTGAGTTGGCTCCTAACATTTGCAGAGTTGAAGCAAGAGAACAAAACAGGTTCCTGGTTCTTTCTGTATCCTTCTCTTCTTATCCCTTGTCCTGACTCTCACTGTGAGAAGCCTTACATGCATGCACATGGACACCTCAGTATGCATGGCCAAGTTCTGTCCAAACCCTCTTCCTGTACCTTGCCCCATGACCACCCCTCGGACCTAGGGCTGTGCCCATACATGGTGAGACCCATCATCAGGAGGATAGACCTGGGGAAGAAATCACACAGACCTTGGAAGCCATTTGCGCATGGAATTATGGGGTTCTGGGTACTCGGAGCAAGTCAAGAGGGCAAAGCCTGGGCTCAGGATGGTTATGTCTTCTTGGCTCCATGGACTTCTTGCCCCAGAGCACAGGTGGACGACCTCTGAAAGTGTGTGGGGCTCAGGGCAGGGGCTCAGGTTCTCTGGGTCTAAAGGGTGATACTGCTTCCACCTCTCAGTTATTCTAGCTTAGACCAATCAGGCTTTCTCTTAAGTCCTTCTCTTCCCTCTAATGTTTCCATGCTTGTGACGCATGGAATTTTTGAAAGTTGACAAAACACGTCATGGATGTGGCTATCAGCCATTTTTCCATTCCCACCAGCTCTCACTCTCGTTCAAATGATTTAAGGGCAAAATGTCTTTGTCACTGGTGCCTGAATCCTATCATAGTCATTATTCCTCTGGATTAAGATTTGATTCTCTTTTAAAATGGAGGTATTCTTGGGAGGGGTAACCCATCACATTTCTACTTCTCAGTGTCAATGAATTTATGCAATCCAGTGGCAAGTGATGAATTTCAGTGGTAGAGCCCTGGGCACCCAGAAAAGAAAAGAACATACAAACTGGGGTGGGGGGCAACAATGAGATTGTGTGACTCTACAGGCTTATTGAGAGCTCATCCCACTTTCTAATCTACCTGCTTTGTTTGGTGTTTTGAATTTTGGAATTTGGAATTTTGGAACCAGAAGATCTGATCCAGTTTTGGCTGTGTCACCTGTGTGGCCCAGGGTAAAGCCTTTGAGAAGGGTCAAAGACAGTATCTGTGTTAGCTACTGATGAGGTGGTTGTGAAGAGCCAGTGAGATAATATGTGGGAAAATTCTTTCAACCACACAAGTAATCAGAAGAATGGACTAATAACTGTGAATAGTGTGCCTGGACAAGGAAAAACTTGTTACTCTGGCGTATGTATCTAGAAGCCTCACCCTCTCCCCCTTTCATTATTCTTTGTGTGAATCATTCCCTTACCCCTCTGAGCAATGCTGTATGCATTATGTTCCTAATAACATGTTGGTACAACAAGGTAGTGACAGTTTGTGGCAGAAGTGTAAAAGGAAATGGTAGATTGGTCCCCAGTCAGAAGATGAGCTCCAGGTTTTCGAAACTTCAGAATCGGAGCATCTTTGTGATCATGGAAGTATTCACCATCTTCCTATGCCTGTTCCCAGCCAGCATGAATCTGGGCAATGCGATATCTGTTTCTCAGTCTATTTTTATTCTCATGAATGTGTACAGCTATAGAGTGGACTTGTCCTTTTTTCTTAAATAAGTCTAGAGCAGCACATTTATAATGCTGTTTAAGTGATGTTTGTATGGACTTTTCCCCCTCCAAATACAGTCAACTCTTTATTTTTGGCAGCAAAGTTTATTTTTTTTATAGTTACTTTATTTCTCTAGAAGATGCATTTCATCTTCTATTTATTTCTTTCCATTAATCATCCAGCAGACTTACCCTACAGTTTAATCAGAATACTCTCAGAGAATAAAAACTAATTAAATTATTAGCCTAAAGCCAACATGCCTTGGAAGGCAATTCTTATTTTTTATAAAATCATATATTGCATTTTAAAATCAGAAAAGTTAGTTTTTGGACTAAAAAATAATAAAATTATATAATTTGTTGTCATTATGTTCATCTTTTCCATTAGGAATGCTAACCAAGAGTTGACTATTAAATAGGAGCTTTTTGTATGTGACAACCAAACCTCTTTCTGCTTTTTAGCCTAGAATGTGTCAATTTTTCATTCGTTTGATTGTCTGTACTGTTTCTAGATATTGTGTCTGCTTGTGATTTTATAGTGAATGAAAGTGTTGTGTTGTTATCAAGTGAAATAAAAAAAATATATATATATAATCATCAACCATGATGTTCCTGTAATTTCTCCCCACATCCTTTTCTTAGTTATAATGTGATGGTTTTTTGATTGAGCACTGAATACATGCTGATTCCGTGATCAGATGAATTGTGAAAACAGTGCTAATTCATACTCTTATTGCCTACAAATTTCTCCTCTCCATCCTAAAGAGGTTTAACTGATATATTTCTTCTTCCTATAAGTCTGTTCTGGTAAAACCATTAATACTTTTTGGCATCTGAGTGCCAAGACTGGAAATCTGAGGACCTGTTTATGCCTGTTACATAAGCTAAGGCTAAACCTTTGAACAGGCTTAGTGTCTGCACACACAGAGTGAACCAGATGAACCTACGATGCCACGCCATGTTCAGATTAGTGGTTAATTCACTGAACTGAGTGGTAGCCTCGCCAGCTGATGGCTTCTCCAAAAACTGCTGGTAAGCCCAACAAGGTGACACCTGTGGTTATGTGTTTCTTTTCTATTCTCTACATACTTTTTATATGCACATTGTCATCTACAAAAAGGTAAAGAAGTGATTTTTATGAAATCAAGCCATTTCCTTAACTAAAGTAAAAAAGAAGGGCATATTTACAGCAAAGCTTTTGGAGATTTTGCCTAATGAGTACACATTTAAAAAATAATTTCTTTAAAGACACTAAAACATGGCAATGTGGCAGTCACCACAGCTAGCCCTTAAGCGTGAAACAATTTCCATTCACCTTGTGGAAAAGAATGCTAAAGAATTCATGAGATGGCCAGAAAACTATAAATATGAGTCCTGTTTCTTGAAAAATATGATAAATTTTGGAATGTATCCACAAAGAATGACTCCAGTTCTCCTTCCTAGAGTGTAAGTGAGAATACTGAATTCAAATCATTCATTTTACGGTTGATGAAACTGAAGCCCAGAGTGGGGAAGAGGTGTTCAAGATCTCACAGGTGGTCGCTGGGAGAGCCAGAGTTAGACCCGTGGGCTCCCAACGCTCAGTCCAGGGCTCTTCTACCACAGCATTTGTGGATGCAGGGAGCATCAATCTTGGAAAGGGAAGGATCGTTCCCAAGAATCCTTAGGGTAACTATTCACCTCTAGTCTGGCCTTCTCTGGAGACCCCTAAGGAGTTTAGCAGAGACATTCCTGGTTCCTTTGCAAGCCAAGTTTAGCTCATCTTACCCCCTGGGAACTCACAGCGCAGACATGGAGACCAGGAGGTTTGGGGGAAGAACTGCTAAAAAATGTTTACGGCTGCTCTTTCTTTACCTTGTGTAGTTGGGGGGTCCCTAAGAATGTAAAAGGAAAAATACCAAGCCCCTGTCCATGAAGACAGCTGCCCAGCCCAAGGAAAGCAGGAGAGGGAGATAAAGAAGCCAAGCTTGGCTGACCGTCGAGACTGGAGGGCAGTCCTATGTGTTCAGAGTTCAGTGGTGTCAGAGGGCTACGTCCTGCCGCTGCCGGCGAGAATGAGAAGGGTAGGGAAGGATTTTTGAATGAGGTGGGACGTGAACTGGACAGTGGGGTGTAGAGAGCAAGAGGGCAAACAGTCCACATGGGAAGAGAAACATTTCTTTTATCTGCTCCTGGAAACGGAAATCGATTTTTCCTGGGGGAAAAGACTTCTCACGCAACGATGGGATTGTCATAGCTGGAAGAGGTGGCCAAAACCTGAAAAACACACGGGGACATAAATAATATTAGAGCTTCATCTGAGAGTGGGTTTCCATAAGAGGCGGAGGAAGAGAGGAGAGACAGAATCTAGCCTTGTGAAGCAGGTCTGTACGATGGGGTGAGGGAGGCGTCTCATGAGAAGGGAAATAAATAAGAGAAAGGATTTGGAGGAGGAAGTTGCTGAAAACAAATTTGGCTGACTTGAATACAGCGAGGAGCATCTACCACGTGGCAGGGGCTGAGCTGAGCACATCACAGGAACTGTCTTGCTCAGTCCTCACAACAGCCCTCCAAGGCATGGGCGAGTATCACTCTCATTTTACAGAGGAGGAAATCGAGTCTCAACTCGCAGAGGTTGCTCAGGGTCACACAAGGACTGAACAGTGCGCTGAGATTTGAACTTAAGCAGTTTGACTCCAGACCTCATGCTTTTGATCACACTGTGCTGCAGCCTTTATATGATTTTCCTAGACCTTCCTTGTGCTTTCTAATAAATGCCTCTCTCCTTAAGTCCAAACATTGAGTGCTAAATCGTCTCCTAAGTTAAGTAGATTTTTCTCAAAAACTGAGAACAGTGCAACTCTCACCTTTATTTTTCCTTCTATGAGAAGTTTTGTTCACCCTCAACAGCTGACCCCAATGCAGAGGTCCTTAACCTTTGAGTGTCATGGGCTCTTTTGGCATCTAGCGAAGTTTATAGGCCCTTCTCGAATGAATGTTTTCAAATTTATTAATTAAAATACATAGAAATGCCAAAGAAATCAATTATATTGAAATGCAGTTATCAAAATATTTTAAAAGTTTATGGTATAATTGTATAAATCTTTATATAAATTTATTTATATTAAATCTTTATTTAATGCCTTAGATAAGATTTAGCGTCAGGGCTAATTGCTACCATAATTTTAAAGTAGTGATAAATATGAATGAAGTTTTGAGATCTCTCTCCAAACTGCAATGTGTAAAATATCTGTGATTTCTCTTGGGGACAAGTTCAGGGACTGCTAAGACTAGAGTGGTTTGTTGCCTACATCATAATGGAGGGAAATGCTAAAATTTACTTACAGGTTAGTGAG